GGTCTGTGGAAGCCTTGTGTGGCAGGGCTCCTGGCTGCACCGGGCTGGGGAAGGCCGAGTCACGGCCCTTTACCACACTCAATATTAGACTGGGCTGTGGCACTGAGGTCATAAATGCTTGAACCAGAGCCGTCCGTTCCTGAAGAGAGCATTGATGGAGCATAGCAAATTGCAAGGTCGAGCGTACGGCAAAGAGCAACAGCAAAACTTCACCTGCGCTGCAACACAGCCAGGTAGGACCCAGAGCAAGTGCACACACCTGAGCCTACGGCCCGTGCCCGGTGCCTCTCACCAACCTCCCCCCTCTCCTGCCCACGTACGATGCTGTGGGAAGAGGAGCTCCAGCCCAAACCTCCTGCCCTCGTTATGCCTGTGCCCAGGAAAGCCTCCCGCAGCAGCCCCTGTGCAGCTGACCAGGCCCCGGCAGGGTGCTGAGCCCATGGTCTCCAGCACCAAGCCTGCGAGCAGGGAAGGGGGCAGGAAGCTGGTCCATTCCCTGCCGCCGGCTCCTTTAGTCCACCAGCATTAAGCCAAGTGCTTCTGGGGCCGGACACAGCCTGGGGGGGAGGCTGAGCAGTTTGGGCTCCAAGCCCTGGTTGGGCAGTGCAGGAGCGGCATCAAGCACCAGCAACGGGGGTCTTGGTGCTGCCTGGGACCAGCCCTGTGGGAAGGGGCAGAGCAGGGAGCCCGCGAGTCCCATGTGCCAGCTGTTAGCCAGGCCCAACCCTGTTGTGCAGAAGCCTGGGGCTCTTTCCCAACCTTTGTGGTGCCCCTGGGAGGAGGAGGGAGTGGAGCTGGGGCATTGTGCAAGGTCCCCCCCCTGCTCCCGGGCTGGGTGATGGTATATAGCCCAGGCAGCCTGGCGCTGGGCACGGCAGCACGGCGGCACCATGAAGTGGGGCAGCCTCTTGGTGCTGGCGGGGCTCCTCGCCCTCCTGGCCGCCCAGCGCCCTCTGGGCCGGGCTGCAGCCCGCGTCTGGGCAGCTCGTTCCAGGTGAGTGCTGCCCTCCAGCCCCCAGCTCTCAGCCCCAAACCTGCCCCAGCCCCTCTCTCCTGCTCCCTATTCAGGGGGTGGTGTGAGCACCGGGCAGGTGGGTGGGAGCTGTCACGCTGCAAGGGCATTGCCCTCTGGCATCTCATCCCTCTGGACCAGGAGCAGGAGCAGCTCCACATGAGCTGCATCCCTCTGCTTGGGGGACGTCTGCCAGCTCCCCGGGGCCCCCAGCTCTGCAACACGCACATCCCATGCTACTGCCACGGCCTCGGGGGGACCCAGCTGGGCTGGAGGGGAGGGCAAGGAGCTGCGATCAGGGGCAGGGCTATGCCCCTTCTCACTGCCAGTCTTTGCTCTGGGTCAGACATCTGCAGGCTCCCCCCGGACTGCGGCCCCTGCAAGCTACACCTCAAACGCTACTACTATGACTGGGTCTCCGGGAGCTGCCAAAAGTTCACTTATGGCGGCTGCTGCGGAAATGAAAACAGATTTTGGAGACTCTGGTCGTGCAGGAAGAGGTGTCAGGTGGGCGGCAAGGGGCTGGAGGCTGCGAGAGGCATCGTGGCACCGGGGCAAAGGCTGGAGGCATGGGGAAGCGTGATGCTGGGTGCCTAGTGTGGCCCATGGCCAAGGTCGAGCCAGGTGGAGGAGGGAAGAGGGGACAGGGATTTGTGACCCCTTCCCTGACCCATCTGCTCCCTGAGCCCCACCGCAGAGACCCAGGCCCTGCTGCGGGAGTGGGCAAGGGGCTGCGATCCTGGGCAGGGCTTCTGCCCCCTCCTCTGTGCCCGCCTCTGCTCCGGTCAGAGGTCCGCAGGCTCCCCCAGGACCCCAGCCCCTGCTTCCCCTGCAGCCGGCAGGAACACTATGATGCTCGCCCCTTGGGTTATGGGGTGCCCAGGAATGGGGACTGTCTGCCTCAGGAGCAGGCGTGTGTGTGGGCCCTTGGGCAGCAAGCTGAAGGTGGGACGAGGAGTGATGGCCGAGCTGCTCGGGCAGGGACAGGGACGTGCAAGGCCCTTGGGCCCGAGCTGCCGTAGCTGCAGGGGACCCTGGTGCTGTTCCTGGAGTGGGGTCCCTGGTGGGCAGGGAGCAGGGAAACAGGGCGAGGGTCCACATCATCCTAGAGCCATCACCCCTCAGACCCGCGCTGCTGGCTGCGTTCCCTGGGCAGCCCCGCGCCCCCAAGCTCAGACGTGTGACGCACTGATTCAGTGAAGCCCGGACGCTGCCCCCAGGCAGGGGGGACAAGGGCGTGCGCTGGAGCCTGTCCGCCGGGTGGTCTCTGCGCCTGGGGCAGGGGCTGGGCTGGGCTGGGCTGGGGGGGCTGAGGTGGGGCAGCGCTGCTGGCCTGACACGGAGACTTCTTCCCGCAGGGAGACCCAGTGGGTGCCCCCCGCCCAGGGGCGTTGGGGCCTGCGTACAGATGTGCGACTTTCAGAAGCCCTGTCCCCCCGGATTCTTTTGCTGTGGCACTGGCTGCGGCACCGTCTGCAGGAGGGTCAAGTAGAGAGGTAGGGGTTTCTGCCCCCACCCCTTACTGCAGCTCTCCAGGCTGTGAGCCCTGTGCATCTCGTGGCTGGGTAGGGGCTGGGCTGGCGGGGCTGGTGGATGGAGATGGGGCCGGGCCATGGGGGTGTCTGTGCTGCCTTCCGGGGTGGGTGCTGTGGGGCACTGGGCTGAGCCCCCGGCCCCTGACTCTTCCCTCCCCGCTCAG